TTGGCTCGCCAGGTGTTCGGGTTTGTTCGGTCTTCATTGTGCTGTACTTGTAGCGCAGCGCCATTTTCGAAACTGCTTTGGTAGGTGTCCGCAAGTCATGTCCTCCTTCCACGATCTTCTAATCTTGCACAACCGTATGGACAACCCTACGTTACTTATAGGTTTACATACTGTGTGATGTAGGTTTACTTATAGGTTGCTTGTAGGTTTACATCAGAGCGAATTAGAGGTGAGTAGCTATGCAGTTAAATCTGAACACGGCTGGAAGACCTCATTTCATTGCATTTGGCCTATGACGAGGAGACAGAAAACATGCATGCAAACATTGCTGATCGTTCATGTTGTAACTAATGATTGCGGACAGGGATCGACGATGTGTGCAAAAGGTGCTATTTCGCTTGGAATCCCATAATTTCCATTTGAGTCTATCTGCTGAAAGGTGATACAATTTGCATGTCTGACCTACCTGGAAATTTGTTCCCCTACACGGTGGACTGGTCGGGCTTCAGGTGGGTCACGACCCATCTGACAAGGTCTCGAGGAACCTAATGCACGGGAGCCCAGGGCTGTAGGGGGGGAGGAGAGTGTCTATGCAAACGCGCAAAAAGACAAAAATTAAAAGAGAATTAAAGTAAGAAAGCTATTCAAGAACAAATGACCAAATTTTTGCAAATGTATATACCCTAAGAGTCATAAGACGGTTCTTTAAACAGTTGTTTGCTGAAAGACGGTTTCTCAAACAGTCTCAAGGTTTCAAGATGGTTTCGCGATTTCACGCTCGTTCTCGCTCTATCACTCCCCCCTTCGCATAGGCCCTCACCCAAGTCTTTTCTCTCACTCAGCCATGCTCAGAATCAACGCACCTTTGAGGGTCCATGATGACTTTTGGGAGAGCTTGGCACAGTCAAAATTGGATGAAATCAAACTGGTGGACACACACTCCTGCCCACCAAAATGGAACTGGAGCCGGGGGCAGCCTGTGGTCTCCATTGTTCTGCCAGGCTTGCCAGGGCGCGGCCAGCATTCACGTGCCCCCTGGAATGCAGCAATTGCGGCAGCAGCAGAGCTGGCAAAAGGGTGAAGCCACAGCCTTGCGCTGTTGATGGACACTGCGGGTCGCATACCCAAAGTCCACACATGGTCGCCAATCTGACAGGAAGAAGTCCTTTGTTGATCACCAGAAAGCGGTCGCCCTCTATACTGTTTACATCTCCCAAGGGCCAAATAGCTCAAGTACTGCAAAGAGATCATGTGTAAAGAGCCTCGTGTCGCAAACTAAGGGCAGGCAACGGCTTGGGCTGATACTGCAACATGAACAATTGGACTTTCAGCTACCTTAACAAGAAAAGATTGCTATTAAGATTTAGGAAGAAAGGATTTCGTAACAAAGAATGGTTGGGACTTCGTCCGCAGTGAGCCGTTGGGCGCCATAGTAAAGGCCCGATGGGCAATGTACCGGAGCGTAGGTGGAATCTCCACCTCTTGGAGGATTTCACAATAAGCAAAAGCTTCCATGTGGATTTCCCTCAACGTGCTCGGGAGCCATGTGTGCGTTAGCTCCTTGCACTGCGAGAAAGCATGTTCATGGATAACTTTGATCATTGTGTCAGAGAGGTCGACCTGGGAGAGATGTCTGCAATTTTCGCACGCCGACGACCCAAGAAAGTTATCTGCACTCGGGAGTGTAACTAAAACAACCTTGTGGTAGCCCCCGATATGGTGGGGGTATTGGAGGGAGCTTCGACCTTCACTTTCCATCATTGTTCTTTTTGGATTTCTTTCCAGATGGCTTGGCTGCTGCCGGTTTCCGTGTGACCCCACGCTTCCTTTCCTTGCCACCATCCATTGCCAATAGTTCATCCAAACCATCAAGCGGTTCATCATCCCCTTCATCATCACGATCATCTCCACCACCCAAGGGAGCATGATCATCATCACTGCCTGCCTCATCACCTTCCTCATGTTCTTTTTTCTTCTTGCTTGTTTTGGCTTGTTTGTCTTTTTTGGAGTCTTTTTTGGCTTGGCACAGTCAGCCTTTGCTTTTGGCGTCTTGCCTTTAGCATTCTTGCTATCGGAATTCTTGCCATCAGCATTTTCTGGGGAAGACTCGGAGGAATGAAACCGTGGGGGCAAAGAATTCAAAGACTTTCCAGGAGGTCCACCAACAGGAGTGCCTGAATCCAAACAGAAATTGAACTCTGTTGGTTGATGCATTCAGGATATTTCAGAATTCAAGATTCAACTAATTGAAATGACAATGAGCCAAGCAGCTAGCTACTGGTGGGCTGGATGAAGATCTCGCGGAGGCCGCAGAGGCCTCCTTTTGGCTCCGGGGAGCAGGAATACCACCAGCACTCTGTAAGAGGGATCCAGGAGAGCCAGTACGCCACTCAGCAGTGCACAAGGCCGGATCGGAACCAGCATCTTCATCCCATTGGCTGGCATTGATGATGATCATTCTGCTGAGGAGGTGTGCATTCCGTTTGTGTGTATGCATCAACACTGCAAAAACAACTTTTGTGTTTTGGGTCTACATGTCAGCTTTGCTGGCTAGGCATCTTCACCGACGACTTCACGGTTGCCCTTCTCCCACGTGATTGAAGGCTGCTATGACAATCCACTGGCAAGGTGGCTATTCTTATTTAAGAACTCAGAAGTGCTGAAAACATGTCTTGCGAGCTACCTTTTCTGAAAACATTTCTTGCGAGCCTGCTGATCCGCCATCTCCAAGGGAATGCCAACAACTCCTGGAAGCCATTGATCACCATGAATTTAAGAAGCAAATGCAGCCCACAGAGTCTCACAGCCTTGACTGACATCATGATAAGTTGTTCATCTTTGGTGCATGCCCCCTATTGCACAAAATATGTTCTACCCGGCTAAGGTATGATGAACCATCACCAAGAAATTATGATGACTATGAAGTGCCTAGTATTGACCGCGAATACTTCGTCCGGAGTGGGCAACATCCATCGCCTGACAATCAATTGGGATTGTCTTCTTCAAACATACGCCCTGAAGCTGGGCATTCAAAAGACTGTTTCTTCAGACTGGCCGTTCAAGATCTTGTCCAAGACTGTTTCTTGTGCAATCTGGTTTTGGGTTGTGTTAGACTGTGGTGCCTCTAAGGCCCTGGAGCGAAGCAATGCCCATGGTGACCTATCTCCAGTCCTCCAGCCAAGATCGCTATTCCAGGCCTTTGCACCTCAGAGAGATTTCATGTCTGACCAATGCGAGTCTTCCATCTTGAATCTTGATTCCGTGGATGCCTTTATTGCACCAATCAATGCTTGTCAAGCAGTTCAAAGAACTTGCAGGATGTTTTGGATGATGGCTATCATATCCTGGAGGAGGCAATGTGATTACAGGGGTTCTTCTTGTCAAGGGTATCTCTAAGTATTTAAAGCCAGGGGCGCCCAGAACACAAACAATGCAGCACATCAATTGCAGCTTTTCTTGCTGTACTCATTTGCGTTCCTTTGCTTTCTGTCTTGTGATTGCAGCAGCTCGTTTCTGTATGCTGTTCTTGCTATCCTTACCTGTGGAGGCACATCCTTGCGTTCCTTGCAGTGATGATGACAGCACCCGAAGCTATGAGGAACTCAGTGACATGTCTGTCCCTGAACCCGGCTGCTATGTGGCCCAGGCAATGGAGGGCATTGCTGAGAGCACTGCTAGCAGCAAGGAGGGGGACTTCCATGGTGGTGCCAGCAATGAGGGCATCAACAATGAGGTGCCCAACACGAATGCAAAGGATGTAAGGGAGGAGGTCATAGAGGCCATTGATGATGCCATCAATTTCATGGAAGCCAAAGATGCCGAGGAGCCTGCTCCAACCAGTCATGCTGTGAATGCCATGCAGGCGCCCAACAACACTGATGGGATCAAGGCGAACACCGAGATCAAAACAAGTGGGCATGCACTGGATGCCACACACCCTTCAAAGAGAACACGGCCAGCTGCAGTGAAGGCACCAAAGGGGAAAACATCCATCAAGACGACCCCAAAGAGCAAGCCAAAAAACAAGGGAACACCAAGGATGAGGGTGACCTGAAAAAGTACATCGCCACAGGGGAAGGCACAAAAGAGCAACAAGAATTCTGGGCAGGCACAGGGGGGTGAGAAGGATTGGGTTCAAAAGAAACTCCATTCAGCTTCTTGACAGCAGGTAATTGTGCGCATGCAATAATACCAGAATCTTGTTACCCTGCCTTCTGGCCTGGTGGGGACAAAGACCAAAGGCTTGGTTGGGAAGGCTGTGACGATCTATGCCCAAGATGCTCGGTGGAAGCACCTTGGACTTCAACTTAGGCTCGTGTCCTCACAATCTTGCTCAAAGTAGTTTTCATGAACCTGGTTCCTTCATCATGTTCTTAGGTGGGCCTCACTTCATGGTCCGCGCTCGCACTTTGCTGTGAAGAAGATTTTGAATGACCAGTCCAAGCGAGGCTAAGGTCAAGACTGCTTTGGCTGCGTTCTTGAACGCGGATTGAGCCAGTGAAAGGGAAATAGCGAGCTGAGCAAGCGGGTGGGGTGGGACATGCATGTTTGTTTCTGTATGTATAATAGCACCTAGATTTAACATGTGAGTGAGTACAAATACACAAGAGTCAAAGACTCAGTTCAAGATTGGAAAGGTGCCAGTTGCAGCTGGAAGTGGTTACATATTTTTGGTTATTCTATGGTGCTCACCATATATAGAAGCTTCGCTGGTCTATCTATTTTGGAGGGTCTATGGAAAAACCCCTCGGGGGAAGCCCAGCCTCAACTGAGAAGTATTTGGTGTAGATGGATGTGCATGGTACTTCCAGCTGCTGCAGCTGAAGACTGCTTGGGACTTGGATGTACAGATGTTACAGATTCCCCTCATCGACAAATCACAACACTTCCACTCTCAGCTCTCTACTCCCAACCTACGAGCCGTCCAGGCGTCCACCGACGTCGACGCATCTCAATACGTTCCAGCTCCCAGACACGCATCCGGTCTCGGATGCGTCGAGGTCACGTTGGTGAATAGCGTCCCGCAGCCTGCGCTGGGGATTCTGGATCTTCTGGGCCTCTCCATGTGGTGCGTGGGCTTTCTGACCGAAGCGGCTGCTCGGCGATCGGTGCGGTGAGGGGGCCCCCGGTGGGCCTCCGGTGGGCCGGCAAAAGCGTGCTTTTCGATATCGTTGATGTGCGTTTGTATACACGGGGCGCGCCCCCCAGAAGACAGCTTTATACACACACACACACTCTGTACCAATTTCTTGGTGTGTTGGGTCGTTCGTGGACGACTCGATCGCCTCCCAGGCGTTCGTTGTTTGCAAGCGCACCTGACTTAGCACCTCACAGGCTCTTCCTGCTCCAAAGGTGTCAGTGAGGTCAAAGAAATGGCTGGTGCCCAAGGTCGGTTGCACTGGCTGGAGCCGAAAACGAAGTAAATCAGTGAAGATTTTGAACCCATGGACGGATTTCTGTTGCAGAGAGATGGTTTTCCAATAGAAAACCATTTTTCCTTGACAGTCCCTGAAATCATTATGGAAGTGGATGGCCCCACCTGTTTGGATTTTTGGATTGCAGGGTCATCCAACAGGCCGTGCCATCTACTTCCATCATGATTTCAGGGAGTGTAATGACTTGCATCTCTGCAAGCAAAATACCTCAGCTTAGACTAGATTTCATGTGGAATCTATCTACCATGGTTTCCCCTCCACGAACTATGGTTGTGTTTTAACCTGGTACGAGCATGTACGAGCCATTGCCTTAGGTTGCGGAGGTTCTCAGTAAGGTCACCCCTCCACGTAGCTTGTGGCTGAGGAGGGGTCACGAGAAATTCAACGATTTGTGAGGAGAAAGAGCAATTTTGATCAGGCCCACAGATTGTTTTGATTCATGAGCTATTATGGGGATGATACCAGCAAGATGACCTGCTTGCAAGTCATGTCTAAGCCTGATCTCTGGTGGTAAGGATACATGAATGAGCCCCTTCATGTCACACGGTCATCAAGACATCTCATGACTGGATTCAAGTTTCAGATTGGAGATATTGGAGAAAGAATTCAACAAACGGCAGAACAGATCTGACAGTGCTATCTTTGATATGTCTTCACACTACATCTGTTCTCAGATGGGCTCCAAGACTTGGCCTATTAATGCCTTGGTTGATGCTCGCTCTCAACTTCCAGGTGGCCGACGGTCAGAAGTTTGCCTTCCGTGGCAAAGCCGAGAACCGGAAGAAGTTCATCAAGTCCGGCGCGCTGGGGGGAGAACGAGTACGCTCGCATGGGCGTGGGAGACCCGTGTTTTCTTTTTTTTTTCCCTGCTCTAGTCAAGTCCCAACAAACCTGAAGAATTCCTTTTCTTTTTAGAATCAGTTTGACATCAAGTCATGTAGATCTCTGGATTAACAGGCCCACCAACTTCTTTGGATTGAAGAACCTGGGGGCCTGACCAACTTGATGAATCAAGCGTCTACCAGGACCATCCTGTCTGGGCGTCCAATGGACTACCCTCCACTACCTAGGGGTCTCCATTGGACACCCATTGGATGGTTCACACTCTTTTCAGGTTGGTTTGTCTCGAGCATGATCAAGACGCCTGGTCCAGTCGCTTGCCTGTCTTCAAGAAGGCCCTTTCCCGTCTGAACAGCGTTTCCCAGAATTTTTGAATCTCAAAAAACATCTAAAGGGGTGCCTCTAAGGGTGTTCCTCTAAGGGTGTCTAAGGCGTGCCTATGAATAGATCCTTAGAGGTTGAGGGGTGTCTATAAGCCACCCCTTTGGGGAGCGCTGGGATATAGTGACTTAAAAAAGAGTACCAGACCACCACTGTTCAACGGAGGGCACGCATTTTTCAGAGATTTTCAGGGGTTCCCTTTTCGTTGCGACCCAGCTGTGTGACCTTTCTCTCCGGGCTCCCCTCACAGGGCTCTGGAGATTCTCTCGGCACCCCAACTACTTTGGTGAGATCCTGATGCAGCACAGCTGCAAATTGAGGGAAAAGGATGGAAGAGGAGAAGAGGTTCAATGGGTGGGACATGCATGCGCATGCGATGGCAATGGAGTGCCCCCCCCAGCAGATCCGGTCGCATTATACTCCCAGGGGATGGCCCCACCGGTTTGGATTTTCGGAGTTCAGGGTCATCCAAGAGGCCATGCCATCCACGTTGGACCATGATGATTTCTGGGAGTGGAGATCATTTGAGTCTACAAGTTTGGTTCATGTAGAACCTGGCTAGTCGCAGTGGGGAAGTTATCATACCTTAGAGGGCCAGGATTTTACCAGCCGTCATGTATGTCCAGGGTAATCAGATGCAATCAGCGTGGGTCAGTTTCTATTAGATTGGTGGAGGTTTTGCACATTTGTTCTTTTTTTTGGGGGGCGAAATCCTCCTGAACCTTGAAGCAGAATGCATTTAGCATGTATACCGCATACTGCACCCCACTTGTATTGAAGAAACCACTGCTTCATCATTTCATCCTAATTAGGTGAATTGTTCCGTTACTATGGTCGCTATTCATCACTGTAGTCCAATCCAAAGTCAAAATTCTGCAGTTCAGCAGAAATCCATCATTTCATCTCTCCCACTGCAATTGCTTCTATCAGGGTCCAGATGTGGTGCCCGAAATCCCGACGTCATCCGGCGATCCGGGCTGTAGCAAGGTGGTTGGGCCTTTGCACCTCCTTCATGTCCTGTGTGACTTCCGGTGCCTTGAAAGACCTCTGGGCTGGGGCCGATGGGGTTTGAGCACGCTGGAGAGGCAGACCGCTGGAAGTCACCAACAGAAAAGTCCTTGGGAGGGAGTCTTCGATTTGAAAGGCCGCGGTTAGGGGTTGGGGGGATAGGATGAGACCTCTGATTGGAGAAGGACGGAACATGAAGGTCAATGGCAAGTGCAGCTTGCACAGAGTGCCTGGAGGCTTTGGAAGAAGAGCGCTCCCTGGACTTTTGAAGAGACCTGGTCCAAACACGGCTACACGATGGAACGTTACTTCTCTTCTTGGGAAGAATGCCGACCAACGAACCCCTAGTGAGCCCAACTGGAGTCAGAGAATCATTCTTTCAAAGAGACCTGTTGATGGGGGATGAAGAGATACGAAGAGGGTGCTCCTCTGAAGGATGTTCAAGAGAATGCAGCTGTTCTTGTTCCGACTTAGTCCAATGAACCCGTTACCAACCCAGAACACCATGGTGCGAAAGCGCAGTTGTTCGACACGTCGTTTCGACACAGGTCCAAGTCACAGACGTGAAACGACCCAACCCTGAAGCCACCACCCGAAGACACGCGTGATGGTCACAGACGCCATGTCCGGACTGCAACTGGGTGCCAAGTACTCGGCCATAGAATTTTAAACCCACAGCAGAATACTCCTTATGTCGCTGAGATCTGCATTTGCAACTGCTCGCTCGCGTTTGGGTCCTCCCTGAGGCAGCCAGCTGCTCGTTTGGATCTCCCCTGCCTTTAATGCCCTGTTGCTGCTTCGGGCACCTTGGAAAGTCCGTCAAAGAGGTCTGTGGATTTCGCATGGAGTTCGGTTTGCCGTGCCAGTGGCAGCTGTGGAGAATTGGAAGTTGATTACAACGGGTCGTAGCAGGTGAAAAGATGATGAACGAGTGGTGGGAGAAATTAGGGACACTGAATCACTTGTGATGGCAGACGAAGAGGCTCATATGATTCCTCCATGCCATCTTCCTGTGCCATGCTGCTGAGGTGTCAGGGGTGCCCATGCTGGAAAAAGCCGGGGAAGAAAAGTGGGGCAGCGATCCCGAGTATCAGCACTACATGAAGGACCCGGCGGCCGGTTTTGGGTGCGAAGACGGCCGGTTTTGGTGCGAAGAGGGATGGTGTGGCAGTGCGGCAGTGCTTCAACTGACGGAAGGGGGGAAGCTGCAACAAACATCTCCGAAAGACAGGACATGTAGAGTGGGGAAGTTATTTGCGCCAGCAGTTCCAATAGGAGCATTTTTTTGGACCCCAGGCCCCAGGTGGCCTAGCTGCATGGTCTGGATGGTCCTTGGAAACCTGTACGGAGGAGAAGAGTCCAGATCCGATCCTGTCGCTGAACTCTTCGCCAAAAGGGGAAGGCAGTAGATCCCTTTGGTGGGACAAACAACACATTTAAACATCCTCAGGTTTTTGCAATGAAGTTGGCCCTAAACCATCCTAAACTTTATTTCTGAAAGAAACTAGAGATCCTCATGTTCTTTTGAAGTTGTACTTGTTCAGCACTTAGAGAATATATATACTTGAATGTTAGTATAGGGACCTGGGATATCTGGGATAGTATAGTCTCACTGATTCTATGGACCTACACTTCCTTATACTTTAAGCCATTCTCGTCACAACCCTTTTCGTTTGGCCGAACAACGAACCGTCCGATGCCAGAACACCTCCTGCATCGTGCCATGGTTTCCAGCCTCGGAGTACAAGGGGCCAAAAGCGCCCAAATCGACCTGATAGGGTGCATGTTTCCTGCATCGCTTTGCTTGAAAAGGATCGAAGAGATCTTCGTTCAGTTTGGCTGGCACAATGCTGTTGACTTCTTGTCTAACACTGTTGGAATCCAAGATGATCCAAGTGGGTGTGTATGAGAATTGGAAGAAGGACAATAGATCACATCCCTTTGGTGATACAGATCCAATTAGATGTGGCTCCAGCAAGAGTCAGACTTTTGTGAAGATTTGCAGTTGAGAGGTTACGTACTCACTACTCACTGACAGGTTTTTTTAAGTATAGTCTTCACCTAGTTCTTCACCCTCATTTTGAAGCAAGACTGGTCTCGCCCAACGAACCAAAACGTGCGAGGCACTTAGCGTTTTTGTTTATGGTGTGACTGGAGCCTGTTGGGTTACAATAATGCAATCCGCGTACTACAAAACCCCTTGCCTTCAAAGACCCTTGAACAAATGGGAACGACCCGGTGTAGTCTATAATCCAACAAAACCCATGGTCATCCAGGAATCCACTTACAGGAAGAGATGCGACTTGGAACAGGAGGATCCCATAGGTGGCCGTCGCACCGCAGCCGTTGCTTTGCCAAGTTCGAAGAAGGAACCGCGCCCCGTGGTTCGGCGCGGTGGCAGGCCGGAAGAGAAGCGAGGGGAACCAGGTGCATCGCTACTAGCAAGGACGCTACTAGTAACAGGTGCATTTCTATTAGTTACAAGAAGCACTAGTGATATGAGAGTGATGAGAGTGAAAAATACTGGTCTCCGGAATCTCCACTTTCCACTGGGCCTTGGAACAAGCCGGTGAGATGCAGAGAAGTCAACACAACTATAGCAATCCTGGACGAGATAGAATATGGGAAATCACAGAAGACAAGAAACGAGAAACGGGTTACTTTTTGGGGATTGGTTCATATTCTACCATATTCAATCTACTGGATGATGATATGTTTGGGAGCTAGGTCTCCCCATGTCTCTCAAAGCTCTAAGTTTGCTAGAAAGAATGCTGCTTACATGCTTGGATTTGTGTTTGTTGCTTCCTTTCCATGGGCAAATCGACAAGCAGAGACCTTCCCTTTTGATTTGGTCTCCTCTACAGACAGTCTCCTCTAATTGCTGAGGAGTCTTCACAGATGCTGGCCTCTTTCCGTTCTGCTGGGTGGTTTCACTTACACATAGTATTTTCAACCTTTGCTTGGCAATGGTTCAACTAGTGTAAGTCCGGGGAAAATAACTTGCAAAACTATATTTTCTAAGTTGAAAGTTGAAACCACCAACAAGCTCTTCTCAGCCGGCCCTTGCATGCCAGGGCCTATGTCGAGAGCCTGAGTGCGGACCCAAGAGCCTCTTTCCGGCGACCCAATAGGGACCTGATCAACGGGCGACCTTTAGACGACCTGACGAAACCAACATGAAAGTGGATGAGTTCCCTGGAATCACGACTGGACTGGGTGAAAACCGCGTTGTTTTTCTTCCCAGGTTTTTTTGGCATTCACACTGTCATCAAACTGGATCCTGTTGACATTTGTTGACCATGCATGCGGCTTGTTTTAGGGGTGTTGGACAGATGCATATTTTTTTTACCTGGAGAGCATACCAAAACACTTGTTGGACATGAAGATCCCTTGAAATCGTATGCTTCTTGAACTTTGGTTGGTGGAGTTTGAGTCCGTTCAAGCTTTGCTCAAGACGTGGAAGTCAAGGTTTGGCAGTTAAACAAGCATAGGTTAGACGGGGAGTCATTTCGTCATCAAACTGGAGTACCCTTTCCTCTTTTTGTCCATGACGTTCACTAGCATCCACTGACAGCTGGAATATCCAAGCCTGGAGCAGACCATATAGGTCTTTGATTCGGAGCTTCGATCAATAGGTGCAAAGTGGGAATCAGTGGAGAGTGAGAAGAAGAGATTTGAGCTGTGGGCCTCTGGTTTTCTGAAGGCAAACACCTGGTCATGGGATTAAACCATTTATTTCAGTACCAAAGCAGTGATCGGATACCATACTTGCAATGCTAAGATAATTAATATCCGTGCCACACCCACACCCAACTCCCCCAAGGCCCCAAAACAATTTGTGACTCGCCTTCTGCGTGGCCCGAAGAACAAGCCAGCCTCGTCCCAGACGTTGAGGCGATGAACGCAGCAGTGGATTTAGGCCGCTCGGCAGGAATTGGGAGGTGGATATCCCCTACTAGTCAATGACCTCATTCTGGAGTTGATCATCCAAAACACTGCTCAATGAGGTTTCCAGCAGGTTCTACCGGGTCAGATGGTCGGACCTGTAGGGATCGGTTCTTCAGAGGAGAACGAAGGGCAACTCGGGTTCATAGTCCTTTTCAACATGGGGGCAGTTCTGCATCTACATGTCAAGAATCTTCTGCATTTAGACACCGACCCTAAAGGATCTAAAAGTATGGGAAGCTTCCAGACAGTCCCGATCTTCCTACCCTGAGCGGAGCGAAGGGACCCTCGAAAAACATGGGGGACTGGAAGAACTCTTCAGAGAGGGGTCTGCTGAAGTTCGCTCAGGTATTAACTTGCTGATCTTTGTGACCCTGGCGGTCCTTGCTCCTTGGACCCGTGAAACGGAGCGGGGCACCTTTTGCACCGCTTAACCCGCCCGGTAGCGGGTTTTGTAGAAGCCTGTTGGGGGTCCCAAAAACTCTGTTCCAGGCGTGTGGGGGCGGTGTTTTACGTCGGTGGGTCTCTGTTTGAGAACTGAAGAACGAGACGAAGGATGTATACAGACATGTTAGCCCAATAAACCAGACACCGTCGGTCAAAGGCTTATGACTCTTCTTGAGATGGAAAGGCCCGCAACCAGGCGCCATCATTCCACTGGGTCCTGGGAAGTTGGGATATACCCTGATCCTTGGACCTTCTCGTGTCACAGGGGTTTGGTTGATTCACCTGCCCTAAGAATCCTGGCCCCTGGCCCTGGAAAGGCTTTGGTTACGGTCCGAACCCGTGTTCCGGGTGTTGGAGGACGCCTTCCGATGAGGTTCGGGTCATGTCGGGTCTTTAAGCATGAGGCGGTCTCCCCGAATTGGTTGAAGGAAACTTCTGCAGGAAGGCCCTAGTTTTGGACGTTTTGGGGGTGAAGACTAAGGGATACTAAGGGTTTCCGACAGATTCCCTGAAACCAAGTTATTGATCGTCCAAGCACCTGGTGAAGCGACACAAAGCGACCAAGGCTTTGGTGCTTCGTCCCTCGGCTCTTCACGGGGAGCCGTGGTGACTCTCCGATGACCCGGAAAACCACGGTGGTTCAACGACGTTTCAGTACACCAGGACTGGTCCCAGTTACCACTAACGGCCTGGTAACCAGTGGTTCCAAAGACTGAATCATATAATTAGTGGTAACTGGGATCCACTGGGTCATGCTTCAATATTGGTTTGTCCAAGTGGTTCTTGAGGGATGGATGGATGCCGGATCACGTTTTCCTGTAATTAAACACAGGATAGCAGTTCATGGCAGATATGGCAGATTCTGTTGATGCAGTGACCTTATGGCAGGACTTCCGTTTTTGCGACACTGTATTGCATGCGTAGGTCTCTCACGGTTCTCTCAATTTGGCGCAAGATGTTTTAATACAGTCTATAGTACATTGATGTACATTGAGGACTACATGCACTGATGTATTTCACGCCAGAAGTCCCCCAGACGACCGCCTTCAAGACCCAAGTGGTTTGATCCAAGATGATCCAACTCATTTGGATTGGGTCTCCATCTCGGGATCGAAAGAACCAGGAACATGGTCCGGCCTGATGAACACATCACATGGAAGTGGAAAAAGGTCCTGCAAAGGAAGACTACTTTCCTATACAGATTTTTTTCAAACAGGTCCTGTACAAGTCTTCCACTTCCGTGGAACGTGACTCCAATTTGTAACAGTCGTTCGATCAACCAAAAAATTGCCAGAGACTTTTGGGTTCCTTTCCTTTGTTTCAACAACATTGAAACAAAGCATGGCGGCGGCAGAGTTTTTGTCTTGACCCCATGTCTTGAGACCTTGGGTTAAGCATTCATGGGCTCGAAATTGGCCTTTCTCCAGAACTTTTCACCCCTGGGGGAGGTTCTTTAGGCTCTGGACTTCCGGCCACACGGGTCGTTATAGGGGCTGGTTGGAACATCCCACCCCATTGAGAGAGCTGAGACATGAGCCCAATTAAATAGACATTTATTTTGCATTGCACTTTTTTGACACTTCTTTTGTGGAGGGTCATTCTGCTTTTGAAGATATAAGCTAAACATTGGCCATATATGATTTTCTGATGTTATATGATAACAACATAATCCCATATGTACTATGATGTTATCTAGTCATAGAGTCCTTTTGCATCGGGTCCCATGCTTGGTCGGGCTCTCCTCGCATGGGAAGGATCCGACAGATTCGGAGCCGAGGCAGGGAGGATATCAAGCGGAAAGGTCGCCTCACTGGGCCTGCTCCTTGGGGCCGTTGTCATTTGGCTCGTCAGTGAGTCTCCCAACATGAAGCTTTATGTATGTTTATGATCAACCAAAGGTGATGGAAGTTTATGTTGATTCTTGCAGTTGGTGATGTTGATGCCAGGGCTGATCACCCTAACGTACCTGCTGCAACTTGTGATGTTCAGCAACCGCGCTCCATTCTGAAAGTTTTGAGGCTAGTTTCAGGTTTGGTCAACTTGGATTGCAGTCAAGTGCTAATGCGCCTAAAGTAGCATGTTCGACTTGGAGTTGGCACTTGGATTTTGAGACTTCGAGTTGAAACTTGGAATCAGTGTCATTGTTTGCATTTCCTTTAGCACCGGTTGCCCACCCAAACCCGGTCCACACATACTTAGGCCATCTTCGTCCACTTAGCAGTGCCAACGACTCTTTTTTCATGAGTGTGTATATTTTTACTTTAGTCAGCCAGCAGCAACTGGAATTCAACCTTATAGGGTTGGCTGGGCTTCCTACGATGTCCGGGACGGCACTGTGGCGCGCTTTCCAACGGTTTTGTGAAGGGCTAGGTGAAAGGATCAATCGCATGGCAGATCATGGCAGGTCGATATGGGTGCGTGGCTCAAATAGGGAGAGCTCCCAGGCAACTAGTAAAAAGTAACCTCAGCCTTCAGGCAGGCAGATGTCATATTTCACCACCGCCGTCAAAAGCCAGCGTGGCTTAGTGATAACAATATAGAACTTAGAAGCTAGAGGTCTTGGGCTCGAGTCCTTTTATGAGCACTTTTCTCGCCCAAGCCCACAAAAGACGACGTTGAAGAGCTTGAGCCAAAATGACAACAGTGATGTGGTGGTTCAATTTGAAGAAACAAGGCAAGGATAAGCCAGCAGGGCTGCAGGGGGGTTGATTATTGTAGGTGGTTTATAATTGCAGGGGGTAGGAGTCTAAAGGGGTGCCCTTTGAAGACATTTTTTCGTATTTGTTGGATAGGGCTTGCGTAAGGAACCCTAAAGCTTTTGGCTAGCCCAAGTTTTTGGAAATCTGATGGGCAAAGGTAAAAAACAGATACCACAAAAAAAGAAGAAACACAAGAAAAAGAAGAAGATAGCGCAAGGCAAGGAAAAATCAGCAGGGCTGCAGGGGGTTGATTATTGTAGGTTGGTTTATAATTGCAGGGGGTCGGAGTCTAAAGGGGTACCCTTTGAAAGCAATTTTTTTTTGTATTTGTTTGATAGGGCTTGCATAAGGAAACCAAAAGTTCTTGGCTAGCCAAAGGTTTTGGAAATCTGATGGGCAAAGATAAAAAAGATGTCACAAAACAACAATTAAAAAAAGATTGGTTTACAACTGCATGGTAGGTTGGTTTTTGTTTGCAGGGGGAAGAGAGAACACATTCTGAAAACAGTTTGGGGTCTGGACTGGATTTTGGCGCAATTAAAGGTAGTATTGCAAAATCCTGGCAGGCCAAAAAACTGCTTATTATTCACACATGGTTCATTATTGGGAGGTTAGCAGTAAATTATAGATTATATACTGACCTTGTCACGAAAGCTAGCATGCTAGCTGAGTTCTTCTTTGCTTTAGCAATGTTGTGGTGGGAGGGGCTGCGTGCCTTAAAGATTGATATATCAAGCTAACCCCCCCCCCCCCCCCGCGGTTCAACTCCCAGCTGCGCCGTGTAGGGGGTTGGTTGAACGTGTGAACGTGGTTGGTTGGGTGTAACGGTGGCTTGGTGTAAAGGGTGCTGCTGCTGCCGCTCTGCTGCTTGCTGTTGCTGTTTGCTGCTGCCGCTGGTTGCCGCTTTTGTAGCTGCTGCTTTGCTACTTGTTGCGGCTTGGTGCTGCTGCTGCTGTTGCTGACGACGCCGCTGGTACTGCTGCTTCCTGCTTGCTGCTTCCTGCTGCTGCTTGCTGCTTGCTGCCGGTGGTGCTGCTGCTGCTGCTGCTGCGGCTTGATGCTGCGCTGCTGCTGCGTGGTGCTGCTGGCTGGCTGCTGGTTGGTGGTTGCTGCTGGCTGCTGGCTGCAGGCGGCTGCTGCTGCTGCTGCTGCTGGCTGCTGCTTGCTGCATAGGACTTGTACTTCACCGTTACAAGTTGTTTACCCCTATTTCTAACCTAATGCATGCATAAGCGGGTGGTAAATTTACCCCCCAGGCTTGCTATAACCATACACCGGCTATTTCCTCAAGACGCTCTATTCTTGATACCTTTTACCAGTGCTTATCCTACACTACGGACGCCCTAGTGTATGCACAGTCCTTGT